TTTCTGTATGGTGATCCTGAAACTGGGGAGGGCAAGAGTCACTGAAGGACAGACCTAGCATCTGGGGAAGGGGAAATAAGCATTTCCCCAAATCAGAGCTCAAGATCTGGGTCAGCTGGAACAGAGCGAGCCTGGGGAATGCAGATGGGCACGTTTTTCTCCACGCTTTGGTTGGCTGCTTGACTCGGGGCCCGTCCATACTTTTGTTTTCTTATGATGGAGTCTGTCGCTTCACTGCACTGAATGGGCCTCCAGGGGGCGAGTTGCTCTTGGCATCCTAGAGCCGGAGCCGCCACCCAGTGCAGGAGGACCCGGCCCCCAGGACGTTGGAACCAGCCTCACCTGGCCTGTGCCAAGGCAAGGCGCCCAGCTGGGCTTCCACCGCCCGGGGCTCGCTTCGCTCCACGGCACTTGGCTTCTCTGGCTGCAGTTTCCTCTTGTATAGGAACCAGCACATTTCAGCTCAAACTAGAAGCAGGTTGGGAATAAAAGGAACATTATTTCCTAGGTTAATTTTTTCTCTGTTTGTTGACTAATATGAGGTATCTGGATTTGATTAACCATGAAACACAAAACGTCGATTTTAAAGGAGAAAATGTCATCCTAGAAATTGGGATTTGCTAAATTCCAGGTGCTGCAATGGGCCCTCGGAGACCTCACAGCCAGAAACACAGCCCTAAAGCTGTCGGCATCTTTCTTAACACAACTCGCCTGTTTTCACGTGTCTGCTGCAAACCAGTGACTCTTTTAAAACAGCATCTCGTTACTCTTTGGTTGTGGCGATCACTGTGAATTTGAGCAAACAGTGGAAAAGATAGAAATGCCTTGACTGTGTTTATTCGGGTGATTTACAAGTGTGGTTGTGGTGTTTTTAAAACAGGTTAAAGGCCCTTTTAAGAGCAACTCCATTTTGTTGGATGATTTAAAACCCTTCAGAGTATACTGCTTACGAGTCGAGGCACAACTGTTTTGGACAAAAAACATCATCAGACCTGGGCAGTTAAGCAACATATCTTGCCACGAAACAACAGCAGATGGTAATATATACCTTTTCATGTCCTTTCTGAGCTGGGAAAGGAATATTCCTAAAATAGTGGAATCAGGGCAAGCTTCTGAGGTGGCAGATGGGAGGGCGGGGAGACACAGGAAGTGGGTGAGAAGAGAGCTCGTGGCTGCAGGTATGATGAGCTTGTGCTGAGATCTGTGGTAGCAAAGGCTGCAGGCAGCCAGCACTGGCTTTATTTTATTACAGGATCGCCTTTACCAGCTGTGAACTTACGCACACCGGGCGGGGGTGGGGGAGATGTCCATTTTCCTGGGACAGAAATACTCCTTAAGTAGTGCAGATGGAAAACTAGCTGATGTTTGTGTCACATGTGGGGTGGCATCTTGTTCACTTTCGTATCGTCTTTTTAGCCTCCACCAAGCTTCAGCAAATCTTCCTGATCTCTGTGGGAACCTTTTCGTTGCTGTTGGCCCTGGCAGGGGCCTGTTTCTTCCTGGTCCTGAAATACAGAGGCCTGATTAAATACTGGTTCCACACTCCACCCAGCATCCCGTCACAGATAGAAGAGGTATGTGCACACGCATCTAAATGGGTGACACTGCCCCCGCCCCCCGGCAACCCCTAAGAGTGCAGCAATGGACAGAGCGGTGGACAGAGAGATTTCGGTTAAAAATGGTACAGGGTTATTAGTACACCCATGTTCTTAGTGGCGTTATTCAGTCAAAAGGTAGAAGCAACCCCAGTATCCATTGACAGATGAATGGATCCCCCAGATGTGGTCTGGCCATACTATGGAATATTACTCAGCCTTAAAAAGGAAGGAAATTCTGACACATGCTACAACCTGGGTGAACCCTTGAGGACGTTATGCTAAGTGAAGTAAGCCGGTCGCAAAAGGACAAGTACTGTCGGATTCCACTCATGTGAGGTCCCTAGAGTAGGCAGATTCATAGAGACAGGCAGCAGAATGGTGGCGGCCAGGGGCAGCTTGAAGAGGGAGTCGTGTTTAGTGGGGACCGGATTTCAGTTTGCAAGATGAAAAGAGTTCTGGGGACAGATGGCGGAGCTGGCTGCACAACAATGTGTGTGTACTTGGTGCTCCTGAGCTGTACACTTCAGAATAGTTAACACAGTCAATTTTATGTGATGTGTATTTTATCACAGTTTAAAATTCAAAAAAAAAAAAAAAATGGCAAGGGGTTGGCTAAAAAGGTGGCCTGACCTGGCCAGGAGATTGGCTGCAGTGGGTCCCTCCCCAAGGCAGTGCGTCAGTCCTCTGCCCCCAGGGGGATGCCCCCTGCGAATCCGGGCTGCAGGGTTCGGGGGCTGGACTTTCTCCTTCCAGAAGGCAGCAGAGAGGATAAGCAAGAACACGAGCGCTGGGGCCGCCAGCGCGCTCAGGAGGGCTCTAGGGAGGAGTAAACGCCCAGAGCTGTGAGCACCAGGCCTTGCCCACCATGCTCTCACTAGCTGTGATTAGCCTTGTGAAGGACTTGAGAAGGAAAAATGGAACAGGTCTTGCAGAAAGCCCTGTTTTCCTGCACAGCTGCAGCCCCTCAGGCTCTGCGAGGCGGTGGTCAGGTCAGTCTTAGGATCAGAGGCTAGCTCAGAGAAGAACATTCAAAAGTATTTGCTTCTGGAGGTTTTGCATTACTCTTCAGTAAACCCAGAGTAAAGGTGTTGGAAACAGAATCTCGTTCTGTTACATCCAGAATGAATATGTTAGATAAGGTCCAAGTCTGGAAAAACATAGTGGTGCTGCTAGAAAGAACTGTAGTCACTTGTTCCTCCTTTTGTCATGCTGTATTTAAAGAACACAGGCATTATACAGGATTACGTAAGTGTTAAATTCCCTGCTAGCACCTCCCTGGTCGATACTGTCACAAAATAACAACTTTCAAATGTCTCAGAACGTTAATAACCTCCCTCTCAGGGTAGAGCTACCAGCTGGGCCCTGGCGAATGAGAATGAATTTACAGTTGTTCCTCCGGAGCAGGAATGTCAAACACAAAGTCTTTGCACTTACTTTCCTAGCAAAGTGCGAAAACACCTACCAGATGTCTCTGAAGTTACATGAGCGTAATGAATCATGTTTCACTTACACTTCCGGG